ATCTTCTGTAACTCGAATACATTGTGTGTGTTTTTTTGTTTTGTTTTTTTAAACAGTGGACTGCCATTAAAGAAAACTTTTCCAAATAAATGACACAGACTACAAACACAGTTGAGTTTTTTTTCTTTCCATCTATTAAGAATCTGAAGGTTTTGTATGTGATGGAACCACAATGAGCAAAACTGCATTGTGCAGGTAAATGTATTGAGGGGTATGCATGAATGCAGTTAGCCATTGTAGAAGCAAACTCACACCTTATGTTTTTGCTTCCCCTGTTCTAATGACTGCCAAGAAATTAAGCAATGACAAAGAAAAAGGCCACCAAGAAAATGTAAATGCAGGATATGAGAAATTAAAGATGCAGCAAATGTTTTATAAAGGAATAAATGTCATTAAGATGTTTGTTACAGACTGAAGACTGCGTTCTGGTAAAAAAATAGAACTAGTGTTTGGGAATAACAGTACGTCAGAAAGTAAGTTAACTGTTCCAAGCAACTGCTATCACTACAATAAGTAGTTAATATAAAAACAATAGCAGTTCAGTCAACATGGTGCAGGATCGAGTCTTGACAAAATTCTATACTCCAACCCAAACATTAAAATACTGCTGTTTGCTCAGACTTAAATGCTACATGTAAAGCTGAGAGTTTTCACCTGTAGTAGAGGAGCTCTGATTCCAGCTGAAGGATGTGTCTCTGCAGTGCTGATACATGATTTGCCTTTGCCTCCAGTTCCTTCACTTTACCCAGCCCGCTGAGTAGCGCCTGCCGGGCCTCCTCCACCTTCCTTCTCATGGCCACCTGCTCCCTCTTCAGTCCCCTGTTGCAGTCCTCCAACGCAGCCACAGTCTCTTTAGAGCTCCACAGTTCCTGCTCCAGTCTCTGATTACAACGCATGGCTTCCTCCACCTGCCGATCTTGCGAGCTACGCAGCAGCTCTATTTCGTGGATTATGTTCTGTAAGCTTTTCAGGTTGGTGTTGGCCATTTTTTTCTGCATGGCTTGCTTCTGGTGAGCGACAAAACAGCCTTCGTCTGCTTTGTGTTTGGAGTGGCTTTTCCACAGTCCGACCTGAATAGAAACAAGTGAAATAACTGAGATATTCCCTTAACTTACTAAAACATGACTAAACAGGTCTTGCATTTGTAGGAAACCACAAAGAAGTGTTGCTTTAATAGATTACGAAAATGAATAACTCCTTTGGGCTGCGAGGCTGTGAAAAACATCTCTTGGTGTTAAGGTGCCAGTTAAGATATCAAATCAGCAATCATATATCTAAAAACAACTTGCTCTTGTGCTGTATGTGCTATCAGAATATGAAATATGTGGGTTTTGGAAATTGTTCTTCCAAGTCTCCCCAATCCCTGTACCAATAAACAAACATTTTAACTGGCACATATCAAAATAAAAACCAGGAATGTAATGTTTCTCTTGAAAACTAGTATCAGGATTACATCTCGTCGTGATTTGTTGACAGCTGTGTATGAGTTTCTCACCCTTTATAAAGGGTTGCTAAGCTTGAATTCATTTCTTAATGAATAAATGAGATGTGAAATTGTATAAGCTATAGGTTGCCAAGTTGGTCTCTTTTCCCCTGTGGCAGAGTGTTCCCCATCCCTGACTGATTTTTTTTGAAGGAGGTCTCTTCCTGTTAAACAGTTGTTTAAACCTCTGGTTATGGATCGTCTGATCATTGCAGTTCTCTCTCTAATGTTGTAGGGTCTTTACAATTTAAACAGTGACAACTGTTGCTGTGAAGTGGTACTCTATAAATATAAATGAATTTATTTTAAACTTGACTAGCTTTTTAACTTCGTCTAGCAAACATTTTAGTTTAATGCCTAAAAGTCTAAGAGTTTTGCTTTTCATTAAAACCTTATGAATGCATACAACTGCAGAGGAGCTGCTTGAACCTGTTAGGAGGTCCAGATTGAACCCCTCCTATGACCATCTGAATATGAACCCTTTCTCCAGCCCTGCCAAGTCCTCATAAGCCCTGTGCAAACAAGCCTGTAAAGCTGAAACAACATGTGTCTTAGCTGGTGCTAATTCATAAAGTCTGACAATGGACCCATCCACAACACCGGCCAGGAAACAAACTCACAATTTAGGACTCAGTCGACATTTACTGGTCACTGTTCCTAATGAATGAAATTGTCCAAATTAACGAAGGGGGCTGAGTCTGTGGCTTTTTGGGGGTTTTCTGGGGAGTGAGACCACAGGATACATGTTCATATTTCCTGCAGGAGAAACCAGAAAAATGGGATCTGCTTTCTTGTCAGTAGTGGTTAGAAATTATGTATTAACAATTTAAAAGTCACGAATAACTACTTCCTAGCGTTGGTGACGGCTATTTTGGGTACCCCCATCCCCTCAGTAAAGCTTGGGCCCCAGCAGCACTCCTGTTCTTTTACAAAAGGCCTATGGACGCATATTGCATATTTTTATGGGCTTGGAAGATCCAAGTGAAAGATATTACATCCTAAAAATTACACTATATGGACAGACAGAGTATTTAAAATCCCGCTTCTCACCTGCAGAGCCAAACAGCGGGCATCACTGCTCTGAAGTGCGGCTCGCATGTCCTCGATCAACTCCCTCAAACTCGCATTCTCATCCTCCAGTTTGGCTATTCGATCCTCCGCTTCCTCCAGGGCCACGATCTCCTCGTAGCACTCCCGGGTGCAGGAGCCAAGCCTGCAGCCGGAGGTGTGCCGCCCCTCCGGGAGAGGAGAGGGGCCGCTGCTCGCTCCCACAGACAACAGCTTCTCTCGGCGCTTCAGCGGGCTCCTCAAGCGGATCTGAGTCTCTATGTGCTCGCTGTCCATCCCGACCAGCAGCCGGCCGTTCTCATACTGGCAGCCAGCCTTAGTGCTGAAGTACCCGCACAGTTTGGCGTGGAACTGTCTGAAGGTGAGTTCGCTGGGCAAATTGTCTAAAACGTCGACGCATTCTGTGTCCTCCGAGTCTTTGTCCAGTCCCAAAACTTCACACAGGATGTTAAACTCCTCCACGGGGATTTTGCCTGCACCTTGATAGTCCATGTGGTGGAAAATCTCCTGCAGATACTGATCCAACCCGGTGGCCAAAACAATAATCTCGTTCTCCACTCCCCGGTCCAGTCCGTAATGGTAAGCCAGGGTGCTGACTATCCATTGTGTCCTGCGCGCTGGTCGGCTGTATGGATCAACGGAGTCTATCGCATCCATTATTTCTACTGAGCAAAGTCATATTTCCTCGAACTGAACTAGAGTTGCTGTGTTTCTCCTCAAAGCATCCCGTGTGCGTTTCGTTTCTCGCTCTGCGCGAAAACCTGGAGCACAGTGGCGCAGCTCGAAACGAGGCGTGTGTTGAGCCCGAGCAGATTTGAATTTAGCACTGCCCCCAAAATCCACAACAAGGGGTCCCAAACAGCGCTCAGCAATGCAGCTCCAACACTCCGCGTATTATAACGGCCTCCAACTGCCGTGCGTCTGACTGTAATTGGCACCAGGTGTGTAAACTTTTCTCATTCACTTGGGTTAGACTTTGTTAAGATGTAAGGCGCCCCAGAGACTTACAGCCCGTGCTGCATAATGTCTTTTATTTTAAGCTGAAGAAAATTCCACTCCATGGTCTGTGTGCAGGGAAAACACTCTTCTATGGGGGGTTTGTACTTTTTGCACCTTGCTTTGTGCATGATGTAATGCGTGAGCTCGGTCTGTGGAGTTACATTTTTGTTCTGTAGTTATCTTCTGTACTTTTCCCTGTTGATTTTCATTTTATTTTAAGTGTTGGTACCCTGAAAAATCTCATCTACTTACATGTAAGCCTGTTGATCCTCCCAATAAGTGAGCTATTAATATATTTAATGTCCACCAAGTCACCCAGCATCAAAGGTTAGAGCTAGGGACGGGACTTGAGGTTCGGTAAACACCTGCCTCTTCTTCTAATCCCAAATTTAAAAGCTTGTAACAAAAAATAAATAAATAAATAAATAAAATAAATACTGCAATGGCAAAGTGTGTGAGACTCAATTTGAAAGGCCGAGCGTATTAGCAAAATTTAGCAATATCCACAATTTTATCATTTAATGGGAAAGAGAGCTTGATAAACTATTAGAAAAAAACATACTGATCAAGCTCAGAATGTTATGCTATAACATTTTTCATATTTTTCATGGGTTTTTTGCATGTTTTCCAGTAACATACTTAAAATGCTGAATATTCTGTACAGAAAATGAATATTAATGGAAGCAATTTACAGGATTCCCACCACTGAAACATGGCTGAACAGAATGGCTGCCACTACTTTCATGTGATGGACTACAAAGTTGTTCTCCACTCCTGAAACTGAGATACATAATGCCGAGTCTGCATAATAAAGGGAGGTTTTGTAGTGTATGAATTCAAAAACTTTGATATAAAAACCCCCTCTGTTGCTAGTTTGCTCAGTAAATAGGTCTGTGCAGTGGTATGGTGATTTTCCAGTTTCTGCGATTAAGAGAGTGAAATAATGCTGTGCATGTTTCTCATCTTATCTGCTTTGCCACAAATAGTTCTTTAATCTCTTTAATGACTGAGCCATTTCGCCTTGGGGTCGATAACTAAAGGCTCCACCCTAAAACGGGTGGATTAAATTGAAATCTCTGATTATTCACTCAGACCAAGACATATTCTTAGACACCACAACCGGTTATCCAACTAACTCAGTTGCTTTTGAAGGTATCATTGTAATGTTTATCCAGTTGAATTGAGGTTTGTAAATGTGAAAAGGGTTGATTACGATTGCAAACAGCAAATTCCCTAAATATCAATTACAAGGCACTGCCTGCGTGATATTATTATTGGGCGCTGAGCCCCCCTAAAACTTTGAACCTAGGATATTTTGGACTTGTCATTAAACTTGGAAAAGAAACAAAAAAAAAAAAAAAAAAAAAAGGAAGGAAAGAAAGAAAGCAAAGGAGAAGACGCTACATACACCTCTGAACGGGGCGTGATAGCATGAGTGCACCTGACGTCCTTCACTACAGCCGTTGCCACGGACAACCGCTTCGTTGTCACCATGCGTTGCACTCCTGAAAATCACGTAGGTTGAACTTT